GTCACCCCCCTGCCTCCCTGTCTGCAGGAACAAGAATGGGCATGTGGGAGTATGTGTGCAGGATCCATCCCGCCCCGGTACCTGCACTGTCCACAGGTCAGAGTTCTGGAGCTCCTACCGCCTGAACATCACTGAGGTGAACCCCCTGGGCTCCAGCTATCGCCTCCTTGATGTCACCATGCAGGCCATCAGTGAGTCCCCATCCATCCCTCTGTCTGTCCCGGTGTTCATCCATCCCCTGGGCAGTTATCCCTGGGTGACAGTAGGGAGCCCAACATGGCTCTTCATGGCAGTGCAGTGTGACAAGGGCTTCCTGTCCTTTCCCACACAGTTAAGCCAGACCCTCCTGAGGGCTTGGTGGTGGAGCCCATCCCCTTGGCCCCGCGGCGGCTTCATGTGAGCTGGAAGTACCCCTCCTCCTGGCCAAAGGAACCCCACTTCCAGCTAAGGTTTCGACTCCAATACCGACCAGTCATCCACCGTTCCTGGTCCATGGTAAGCACTGGGCAAGGAAAGGCAAAGGCAGCATAGGAGCATGGTGGCCATGGGGCAAGAGAGGGCAGTGAGGGATTCCCCTGCCTGCCCCACAGCTCCCCTCTGCCTGGCACAGGTAGAGACAGTGAACCTATCTGAAGTTATCACGGATGCCTTCACTGGGCTGGAGCATGTGGTCCAAGTCAGTGCCAAGGATTTCCTGGACGCAGGGAATTGGAGCGAGTGGAGTGATGAGGCCCGGGCAACACCAGTCAGAGGTGAGATGAGGACAGGCTGCAGCCTCCAGCAGCTTTACCATGTTGTGCCATCCCTTCCCAAAGCCCTTCCAGCGCCCTGAGCTGCTCCTCTCCAGTGCCTTCCCCATGGCACCCATTCCCCCAAATATCAATCAGAGTGAGTCTCAGCTCCTGAGCTGCTTAAAGTTGAGAGGCAGAGCTACAAGAGGACAAAACATCTCCCAGCCCATAGCAGTTTGCGGCTGTGCTGCTGCCATTTGGGGGTTGCCCTACACAGACTTGGGACAGAGTGGGGCTCCCAGAGTACCACTAACATCTCGGAGGCACCCTTGGACTTGTGGGATCCCTGGGGCACAAAGGTCCCCTTCTTTGCTGCTCACTGTGAATCCCTGGGGTGCATGCTTTTAGGTGACTGTTTCCATCCTTTGTCCTTCCAGACCTGGCCACCACAATAAGTGAAGAAACCACTACAGATGCCAGACTGGAGAGCCTGGCTGAGGAGCCCTCCCAGGCTCCTAACCCTGAGCCCATCAGTGAGTAGAGCTGGGGGTGGTGATCAGGAGTGCTAGGGTGGGCAGATATGTGCTGAGAGCAATGGGAAGGGTCTCCTGCCCCATCCTTTTGTGTGGCTGGGCTGCTGGGGTGTCCAGGAGCTTGCAGTGAGGTCATCTAGGTGCTGGGGACTGTGGCATCCCTCAGCTATGACAGTCTCTCTGTCCCAGACCACAGTGACCCCTTGGAGAAGATGGCTGTCCTGGTGTCCCTTGGGATCTTTGCCTTCTTCGTCCTGGCTGCTGTTCTTGTCATCACCGTCCTCATCTGGTAGGTTGGGTTTTAAGAGAGAGGGGTCTGCATGATTGCTGCACCTGAACCCTCAACATGAAGTGCCCTGTGTCCCACCAGTCCTGCTCTGGGGTCCCTGCCTAAACTGGCTTGACGCTCCATAGTGTAGTTTATGCTCCCCTTGCCACATCAATGCCTCTTCCTGCACACCCAGTACTGCCCAGGACACCGGTTACTGCCCAGCCTGCTTGGGGTCTTTCTAAGGAGCCCAGATCCATGGAACCTTTCTCTATATCCACCAAAGATGCTGCTGTCACTGACATCCCCACAAAGGTTCCTGCCTTGCTGGGGAGTCTCATGCTCCAGAGTCCAAGCAGACATAACCTGATATACCTTTGCTCCTTGGGTGTCCTGCCCCCAGGTCCCCTCTCATCCTTCCACCACTGGCCTCTTTGTATCGTGCTGTGGCTTGGCTGTCAGTCACTGTTCCCATCCCAGTCCTACTCTATCTCTTGACCAGCTCTTGCTGTAGTCCTGGGGACTGATCTGCTGGAGTGGTTAAGCTGAATTGGGCACAGCTGGACACAGCTGGGTGGGAGCACAGAGTGGGATCACTGGGGATGTGAGCAATCCTAATACTTAGTGGAGCTGCTTTGGGTCTTCAGCCACCATTACTCCTATCACCAGGCTCCGTGTGAGGAAACATGGCAAGGACAAGACCAAACCCAAATTTCTGGTTGATGCCACCCACTTGAAGGCACTACCAAGTGAGTCGGGGTGCAGGGTGGGTAATGGGGGTAATGCAGGGCAGGGAGTGTGAAGCAAGGAGCAGGTCAGTGCCTCCCTTGATCCCCTGTCCTCTCTCTCGGCAGAAGCCCAGATCCTGTAGTGAGCCCTTGATGATCCCTGCTCCCTGCACCTGCTTGCCCACGCGTGGGACTTGATGCCTCTGCTGGCCTCCAAGGACCCCACGCCTCCTGGGTCACCCCGCAGTTGTGGACATTGCCGGAGCCCCCAACATCCTTGGGGTGCAGGATGGATCCTAAGGAGAGAGGCTGTGCCCCCAGGGGCGTTGAACTGCCTGGGCCCACCAGGAGCAGGCTGGAGTCACTTCAGGCTCAGGGGGACAGGCCAGCCCCACTGCCAAGAGCTGCTAACCAAAAGGGGCCAGCCCCACTGCCAAGCGCTGCTAAACAAATGGGGATAAGACACTGAGCCAGCCCCACTTCACTGCCTAGTGTTGAGGGGGACCACGTGTGTAGGCTCCAGGGGATGCCGGGATCAGTGAGCAAGGGGTGCTGAGCCCTGCCCATCACTCCCCACCAGCTGCCAGCAGGTGGAAGAGAACCCCCCTCCTGCCCCTTCCCCCTATCCCTCTCCCTCATGCTGTGGCTGGATGGAGCAGTGTTGCCAATAAACGGGATATGCCAATGCTATCATTGGCACTGCCCAGGCAAGACCCCCTTGCAGATGATACTGGGCCAGGGGAAAGGTGAGTGACACCAGGTGAGATACCAGCTTGAAGATAGTCCTTGCAGGAGGTGCACAGGCAGCAGGGCTTGTCTCCAAACTAGTCAGCCCCCTCCCCAGGCACCTGGAGGGGCTGAGAGAGACCCTTGCCCAGGCCAGCCCTTGCTAAATGCCAGAAAAGGATGCAGGGAGCTGTGTGAGACGTCTCCACTGCCCTGACCAGGCTGCCAGC